TTTTGTCCAAGAATAAATAATTTCCCATAATATTACATCTGAAACTGTGCACGTGGTCCAGATTTCATACATGTACATCAAAGGACAGGAATAGCTTCTCGATCAGTCCGGGTATGCCCTTAAGGAGTTAGATATCTTTGCCATAATGGGATTTTATATTTTCATCTAGAAGAGAAGAGTATTTTTTCATTCTGTATAAAATCTTTAAAACGTTCACATACAGTAGTCAAACGTACCTATGAATACCAACTCAAAATTTGTGTGATGTGCCAAAATTCAAATATTTCATACATAAGCGCTTATCCCGAACTATTCAAAGTTAACATCATGCATTGTATAATCGATTTTAAAGCCATGTGTGAATTCATATAATTCTCGTTTGAACACAAATGAAATGATCGGCATTAATTTTTTGTCTTGATATATTGCTTCAGTTATAAATGTTATAATTAACAGCTTTACTTCAAAAAGAAGAGTGGGCTAAATAAACACACTGGCAGATAATGTCATTGACTTTTAATTTCGAAAATTTCTTCCGGAAACCCTCACGAGTGAGAGTTATTCTGCAGTAAATCAATTAGCAGAGATTTGCGAGGATATTCTCGTAGCATTAAGAGCTTTGGTCAGGTGTCTAGTGATATTATATTCACCATTAAAATGGTGCTAAAAGAGAGTGTTAGATAATACTCTTTTTTCTTTTTTTTAAAAGACGCATTATGCCTCAGAAAAACCATAATAATATATAATAATGTATAATAGTTGGTTTTTTAAAAGGCCGCATTGCGACTTTAGAGCTTTACTGGTTGAGGACGACATCCTATAGCCGCTCGTTCTTGGAATGAACTAGCGGAAAAGATTCGTCATGACGAAAGGATCCAATGCTTTGATGAACCAATAGCTTTTAAGAGATATATAACTTTTCTCGTTTAGGGTATGACCCACCTAATGCATTACCTCCACTTTGAAGAGTACTCAAATAGGCTAGAACTACTATCAACTGCATTGAAACCTGAGGGGCGCGGGTTCAAGCCCCAGAAGAGGCAACTTTTTTTCTTTCTTTTTTTCTCTTTGAACATTATTTGTGTCTCTCAGATCACTCTTGATAAGAAAAAAGTGTTTCATTTTAATTATAAGTTTGTTATTGGTATTTATTGGCTAAATTGTGCCAAATTTATTATCAAATATGGTACCTGAATATTTTCAAAGTCTAATAAAATAAAAACTAGACGGTGAAAGTATTCTATATTTGACAAGCGCATCCAATATACATTAAAAAAAATTATGCAAACTTTGAAAACAGCCCCTGATTTGAGTAATTTTAGGGATATTTGAATAAGGCCCTCCAAGTAGAAAAATGATCAAACAACTACTTAAAATGGGTGGGGTAGGGTAACATTTATATACATATTTCAAACATTTTGAGTAGAAACAATAATTTTGCTTGGTCACTTGTTAGCTGAATGCTATTATTTGTTTCTTAAATATTTTCTATAGGAAAACATTATTTCATAATGATTATATAATAGATTAATTAGAGTTTTTTATTTCTGAAAAAGAGCCCTTCTAATAGCCAAGTCTTACTTTAGAAAAATCTCCATAATTCTTAAACCATACGGTAAACTTTGTTTAAATTTTGCATTCTTGTGTCTTTTTAAGGTATATAACTGATCTATGTTGTCAATTTTATAGTTCCTTAAGTGCCCATTAGGGGCTCATACCTTAATAGAATAACAAAGAAAATAAAGTCTTGTTAAAACTATTAGACCAACCAAAATAATTCGTACACAAAGTATTGCTTATTTACATTAAATATTTATTTGTTAACTAAAATAAAGAGAATTGTCCACATGCTAAAAATACAAATTTTTCACACTGCAAAAAATTACAATAGAGGAATTTCAGATCTCATTTCAGCAAAAAATACACAAAAATTACAAGTAGGTCAAACCTGACCATATCCACAACCTTTTCTCGACCATCTATGTTAACGTTATAACAAAATTAATCTGATAAAATTTTAAAAAAGCTTAAATTTGTATTATAGACAACTTGAACTATGCACTGTTACAGTTTTTAAGAAACCTTTCTGAAAATTCTGAAACAATGTGATTTTTTTAAAATCCGATTAAATATATATTTTTTACAGTTAATGCGATGGTGGTTATGAGAAAGAACAAGAAAAAGGTTCAAGAACCGTGCCGGCCTAGGATCATCTTGAGGTATATCATTTACTTGTTTCTATTAACTGCATTGAATCGGAAACGTATCTTTAGCTGTTGAAATAAAATCAATTCCATTCTAAACATTACCTTGAAAGCATTTTCACAGTCAAATTGGACAAAGCATACGAGATCACTTAATTCAATCGCGTTCGATTAAGTTCTCATTTAGATTTTCTTCCGTCTGAGACATATGCTTTATATCTAGTTTATATAATCTTATGTCCCTCCATTGTGGAATTACGGGATTACAAGATATCTGCTGATTTAATATCACTTAGTTTCTCTCGAGAGCTTTGTTCATTTCAGAATAACGAAACGTTAAGTCATTTTACACAAATGTACCATAAAATGACAGAAATCTACCATAAAATGACACAAATGCACCATAATAAATGAAGCTTACGGATGTTTTTGTTTATTGCAATTCTTCTTCCAAATACATACAGTAAGTAGAGACGGTCATTATAAGGTTGTAAAAAGGCATTAACGTCCTCAATCTTTGTGCACATAATTTAAAACAATTTCTGCCATTTCATCCCTAAATGCATCCCTTGAAGCAATCAAAACTGGTTCTATAGTAGTTGTTAAGAAAAACAATTGTCACCGCCGGGCTGGGACAACGCTTGACATTTCTACTTTTTTCTAAAGCAAACTAATAACAGGTTTAAACAAATTTGTAAAATAATTAATGAAAAACATTGTTTGCCCTTTTAAAAAATAGTTGGTCCATGTTGTTTTGTCCAAGAATAAATAATTTCCATAATATTACATCTGAAACTGTGCACATGGTCCAGATTTCATACATGTACATCAAAGGACAGGAATAGCTTCTCGATCAGTCCAGGTATGCCCTAAAGGAGTTAGATATCTTTGCCATAATGGGATTTTATATTCATCTAGAAGAAGAGTATTTTTTCATTCTGTATAAAATCTTTAACGTTCACATACAGTAGTCAAACGTACCTTTGAATATCAACCAACTCAAATTTGTGTGTGTGCCAAAATTCAAATATTTCATACATAAGCGCTTATCCCGAACTATTCAAAGTTAACATCATGCATTACATAATCGATTTTAAAGCCATGTGTGAATTCATATAATTCTCGTTTGAACACAAATGATCGGCATTAATTTTTTGTCTTGATATATATATCTTCAGTTATAAATGTTATAATTAATAGCTTTACTTCAAAAGAAGAGGGGGCTAAATAACACACTGGCAGATAATGTCATTGACTTTTAATTTCGAAAATTTCTTCCGGAAACCCTCACGAGTGAGAGTTATTCTGCAGTAAATCAATGAGCAGAGATTTGCGAGGATATTCTCGTAGCATTAAGAGCTTTGTCAGGTGTCTAGTGATATTATATTCACCATTAAAATGGTGCTAAAAGAGAATGTTAGATGATACTCTTTTTCTTTTTTTAAAAGACGCATTATGCCTCAGAAAACCATACATTTTTTTAAAAATTCTTTAGAATTTATAGTGATTTAAAAATGGGTTAAGAATACGTTGCAATTTATAAAAATAGTGCTGAACATGCAGTTATGTGTCGAAAAGGAAAGTAGTATTTTGACTTCCATACACAATATTAATACCTATTGCTAAAATAGCAAAAGAAGCAAACATAGTTCATCTATATGACAAATGATTAAGATTTTTGGAAACTGTAACAATATATCAAAAATAATAATAATATTAATAATAATAATAAGCTTTTGAGCAAAAAAATAAATGATAACATTTTTGAGGCATAATGTGCCTTAAAGTTTAAAGACAGCTTCTACGTGTTCTATTCTAATTCATAGACAATAATTGCAATTGAATCGCAAAAAAATATTGATGAAAAAGCATCAAACGAATCAGAGTTATTTTAATGTTATGATTGATATTTGTAAGGAGATGAAATATCGACGTCTCACCAGCAACTAAGCAAAAAAATGGAACAAAACATCAACTAAGAAAAAGAGGAAGATTTAACATGCTAAATTAAACAGTTTGATGCTTTTTTGATCACGTAAAAATTAATAAATTTCTAGAATAAAAATACGTTATAGTGTGATAAGATGATATTAATAAAGACGCTGGTTTGACCCTTGCGAACGACTGTTGACCTTTATTTACCACAACTTGTCAATGATCTTTATAATATCTCTTGATACTGTTACCACATACTGTGTGAAAAACAGTGTGATACCTTAATATCATGTACAAGAAGTGCAAGATTGTAAGTGTGAAGTTCTCTGAAAGTTGATGAAAATATATAAAGCCTTTCAGATTATAAGTTTACTGAAAAGTCAAATATCACGACACCAAGGACATTCAATATCATAATACATGGCATTGGCAGCATTGAATGAATAATATAAAATAAAATTTAAAGCATTTGCCAAGAAAAATAAGCTTAGATTAATTAAGATACTTTGAGCAAAAAAAAATAAACAAAAAAACAAAACAAAAAACAAAACAAAAACAAACTGATGAACACTAATACATCAAAAAGATTTTGAATAAAATCCATAAAAAAAATCCAAATTAATGTGAATTAGGACGCTTTGCCAAAACACGACATTATTGTGTTGATTCTTATTAGTAAGCGTAAACATAATACTGGTCTTACAAATACTATTATGTTACAGTCTGAAAGACTGCATCCCAGTCTCGCAAAGCTTCAATGGTGTTTCTTGGAGCCCTTTGACAGACAGACAGTGCCAACAATGTAAAATACAAACATACATTTAACATTACAAAATTAATAAATCAGAATGTGATTCTTACCAGCTTTTCGTTTTCATCTTCTATATCTAGACGCGAAGCAATACAGTTTCTTGTCTTCACAAATGTTTTCCGCTGGGCTCTCTCCGTAACATTGTGGATAAAAATACCAGCTATATTTACACACAGGTAGAGGATACCATTTGCCAATAGCTGAAAATATAAAACAGAACGATGATTAATCGGTTTATATTAAGCATATCATAAACAAATTTCATCATCATCATCATTATTATCATCATAACACTTTGACTTTCAGTTTGTCATCAAGTTATAACGAGTATACATTCAAAGGACATAACGTTTTATAAATTATTGATAAAACATGGTATAACAACAAAAATAGCAACAACAATAATAATAACAACAACAACAACAACAACAACAACAACAGCCACAATCACAACCACAACAATAGCTGTAACAAAAACAACAACGCCAATAGCAAATAATGGCTCAGATTGTTTCAAGACTAAAAACAGAAAGTACGACGCTCACGATGCTTAGGCTGCGATTTTTTTATCTCATTATTTTATCAATTCTCTAACAAAACTATGGCAAAAAGTCAAAACTACAACGTTCTTCTTATCTTTAAACAGTTTGTATATAATGAAATATGACAAAACATGTCTGTATACAAAATTCTCCGCGTGCGATCCACGTGTTCGCGATCTGGATCTCACCGTTCCCGTGGTGTCGCGAGATATTTAGTTTTGAAACAAAGACTGCCCCGTGTTATCATAGTGATAACGTGCCAGCAAGTTGAATTTTATGTTCAACAAATGATTTATCTAAACAATAAATGTTCAAACCATTTAACAAGAACATTTTTTCAGGCAGGCAATTGTATCTATGCGTACTTAATTTGGAATTTCCAGTCTGGGGCTTTGTTAAATTTCTTAAAATATTGCTGAATTGACATATCTTTGAAAAAAATGGAAGTTTAATAAATTTAGTCCTCTGAAAAAGAAACATCCAATTTTTTCTTACAAATCAATCAGGATTGTTTTTTAATACCACTCCGACACACATTTACAATAACATCTAATTCGAAGATCATTATCAAGAAAAAAAAACAAAACAACCATTATTTTACCCTTCAAGCACATCAGATAAACATTGTTAGTGTCTGTCTGATAGTCTCAAATGATAAAACTGTGAAAAATAAAAGAAAATGAAAAAAAAATAAATAAAAAATATAAACGTTTCGCTGTAAAGCTTTCGGCAGCCTTGAGGTATCAAACATGTGTACTAAAAATAAGAAAACAGTTTCTCATAACAAGAAGGAATCTTCCTCCCATTGAAACAGTAATTGTATGTAAAAATGATTTAAAAGTCCCTTCGGAATTCCTAACGTCGTTTGTTTATAATGCCATAAATGGATTTTATTACAGCATCGCCATTGTAAGAGATCATCGACATTAATTCGACTTTAACACGAACCTGTAGGTGATAATGTAGCATCACAAAGAATGTAAATCTTAGGTTTATGACCTCCAAAGGATTTGTACATATATCAGGCTTACAAATGGATGTTTTTAGTTTTGTTCTGTCTGAGTCAATAGTTTACGACTATTAAAGGAACGCCATAAAAGACTTCATTCGTAACGTAAGAAATTAACAAAATAAAAAGAAAACTAAAAATCATCTACCAAGAAAAAAATATTTCAGGCTCTGTTTGATTCTGTTTGATTCATCCTATTTATGGACGGGTATGTTTGATAAAGTTTACCTCCTTAAAATCACCGTCTTTAGTAAATCCCCAACTATAAAACATAAAAATCGTTTTTCATTTAGCCCTATATTTGTTATTTAAGAATAATATGCAATAGTTTATTAATTTAAATCGATTTCGAAAAAAATTAAATATCCTGGAAAGTTAAAGCCTTTAACCATTGCCCCCATTCATTGCCGTGAAATCAGATTCAATTCTGAAATTGAATTCATATTAATGAGGAAATTATTCAGGCTATCTACATCGGACTGATGCCTATGACCATACACCTTTAAATACCCGGGGTCTTATCATATTCGAGGGGTAACATTTTAATTATACTATTTAATGAATTGAAAAAGAGTGACTGTTTTTTCGCTTTGTATAAGTCTGTAACCAGACATATTCGAATAATATTTTACAGTATCTTAACAAACCATGTGCTTGTATATTTATAGACAAATGTTTAGAAACGTGTTGGGTGCATCTTATCACTTTTAATTGTAGATAAGAGAATTCTCCTTGATAATGTGCATAAAATGCAGGTGTTTCATTTCAGTGTTGAAAATAATTTAACACTTTTATGACTTTATAATATTTATATCAACGAATGTCTGGTATTATAACTAGCATACACAGCACGTTTCTTTTAGGTTTTGCAAGTTATTTCTTTCCATTTATTTTTAGATGTTAACATAATTTAAGCTTCGTTTCAGTAGCATGACTAATATATATTTTATTTAAATGTTTTATCCAAAGTAAAAGTTGATTTCTTTTGCAAAATCAATAAATCTTTGTATTTGATTGTGTTGATTTTTTGTGTGTATTTATATGATCATTGAAGAAAACTTATTTATATAATGAGTGAGTATTAAACAAAGCATTCAAAGGCAGAAATGTAATAAAATAAAGAACTTATAACATGTGATACTCAATATAAATTGTTAATTTTTCTGCCAAGAAGATTCGTTTTTCAATTTGCTGATAACAATTTATTTACTTAACTACTTAAAATATGAAAAAAAAAACAAGATCAACAACAAAGGCCGACATTCAATGAATACATCCCCAAACAAAAAACAACCACAAAGAGCCAAGCAGGACACCAAACAGCACAGGGCACATGGGCAAAAACAACATTTTGTACAATATGCCTTCAAAGATATTCAAGCTAATTATAATATATTCGGTGGAAATTGTAATATGCATTTGATTATACAAGGACATCACTTATTACCGGCATAGATAGATATTCCCAAAGACATTTACAAGGTTAGCTGTACTTGTTCTTATTCCCAATAGACACATCGTGTTCATTATTATTCAAATATATTCCTAAATGTGCAACAAGAAATCTGAAGCTTGGCAAAATGACAAGGAACCACATCATTTGACCACGTGTATTAAAATTATGGCTTATATAATTTCGAAATTGTTGTGAAGACACAAGGACTGCTTCACTGTATAACTAGTGATCCTTTTATGAATTCTGACGAACATTCATATTTTCAGGTCGATTGTGACGAAAGTTATTTGCTTATTTTAATCACTACCGAGTCCAATTTCAGGAACAAGCAATTACTACGACTCCAAAACGAGAATCTTAACTAGTCCTTTTTTGTTCAATAGTACTGACGCAAATAGGAATCCATGATTATTTTCCATATCATACTTTTTTGCGAGCCGTAGAGGATCAAACGATTATTGTTACATATGTTTTATTTTAAATATGAAATTATTGTGACCAAAGTAGAATTAATAATAATGATTATGATGACGGTAACGAATATTATAAAAATAGAAAAAATAATAATAACAATAATAATAATAATAATACTGATAATAATAATAATAATAATAATAATAATAATAATAATAATACAGACCAAAATAAACAGACAAATAATTAAAACAACAAGATGGCATTGATCTTTGACTGAAAGTCTTTAAAATATCGATCTCGTAATCAAATATCTATAACGTAGCATAGGGTTTTTGTGTCAAAACAAGCAACATTAGAACTACAGAACGGTCAATACCGTCTGCCAAATCTTAATATATTTGCTTAAGGCTATAGACGTCTTTAATTATTGTTGAGACAAGATCATGAGACCTTTCAATTGACTACTTAAACATTATTACAGCTATGTGTCAGTCTACTTCTTCAGAATGATATACCTCGCTGATCCACCCCGTAGACAAAAACATGACTTGTTGGCAAGAGAAGTGATGTCGTAATAGCTAAGATAGTAACATTTTCTGCGCGGGTGGACAAGCTCACGGTTTATTCAGGATTATTTGTTGATTACAATCAACCGCGTTCTTTACTTTTACAGGACACTACTTTTCTAATATATGTACAATATATTTCAAAGTAAAAATAAGTAATCATAATGCAACAGGGTTCACTGAGTGCTGATTCATTTTTTTTTATCTCGAAATATTTCGAGAAACACATTAAAATAATCCTTTAACATGCACTTATTATCAAAGGATTATTAAAACTTAACAACTTAAAAGAACATGTCAGGAATACTTGTTTATTCTGACTTGTACGATTATGCAGCTTTCAACAATGCACTCTTTGCAAGCTTGCCAAACTTCCAAGATCTGCTATTGTTCATTGTTTACACTCGTGAAAATTTACTAGAATTTAACTGTTTATGTTTGATCATAATAGTTTTTATGCTAGAAAAAAGCTTTGAAGTGTTTTTGTCTTAAGAATAATAGCATTTTTGGTCCTTTTTCCTAGACTGAGGCACTTATGCTGTAAGTGCAGTAATCAGACAACCTTGTGTTAGATACAAAACTCTGTTTGGTTATACAAGCCTGTCTGGTCTCAAGTATCAAATATTCTCTGAACGCATAATTTGCTTTGGTTCTTACACTCCTACAAAAACTTATGCAGCTATATTCTTGTGAATAAAAAAACAAGAAGGCTTTTTTTATTTAATTACTAAGATGCACATCAAAACAAAACTGATATCCGACTGCCAAGACATTTCTTCTACAACATTAGAGAAACAGTGATGCTTGCGTACTTTATAAACGGGCAAAAATCCAGTTTGTTTCCATCTAAAATATAGTCATAAGTAGTCTTATAGTACTGCCATTTGTAACGTAGCTTTTCTTTGGACAATCGTGACGGTTATATAACTTCCATTTTTTAATTTTTCACTTAGTATTACCGTCCATGTACAAACTCAATCAAACCGAGCCTGCAACATTTTCAATTATGTCTTGTTGGGCTTTCTTTAGGGATTCTTTATTTCTCTCTATTTTATATACACGACTGCTGTCAATTTATGAATAAATCTCACTTTTTTCTATCAAAAAAGAAGTTGTTGTATTATAAATTAGTTATAAAGATTCCTGACAGGTAATATGGCCTTACATAAACGGTTGTTTGCAATATTACCATCGCATAGCGGCTCGGGCT